AGGTACTCGTTTGAGAACTAAAACCGACTCTGAATATTAGGGATTTGCAGGGATAGGGTTTGTTGCCTTAGTATCTAAACCAACTCGGTATCAGACCAGGTTATAAGGATCCGCACGTCTACTTTATGTCTGGATTTATGCATAAACGGATCCGCTTCTATTCTGAATAGACATGTGCCGTATCAAAGAACTCGTCCTGCTAGGTCCCCACATATGCTCCCCGGTCCTTGATATCCCCCACCACCTTGCACGCCAGAATGTATGGGTTCCAAGGCCAACAGACTCAGAGACGCCCGAGTGGTGCTCCCGCTCCTGATTCTCAGCAGCCAGCACTGGTAGGGGCAGGAGAAGCATATCCTCAATATAATATACCCCAGGTCGCCGGGAAAGTGTTGTATCAGCCGCCTCAACACGATCCATACTTCAGTGGTAATGTACCTCGATTTGAGATGGTAAGAGCTTGTAGATCGCCCACTAAAAGTCAAGCGACTTACTGGATACGATTCAGTCAGGCAATGGACAGCACGGTGACCACAACACCAGCGGCGCATTCGCTGGGGGACCTATGTACCAAGATCATTTAAACAACAGGCTTCGTTCCACCAGTCCGCAGCACTCACCCGATATGCGTCAGCCATCCCCGTATCCTTTTGTCGGTGCACACCAGAGACCCGTCCAGTCCATGCGAGGACTCGGGTAGTGAGGCATCTTCGCGGGCACCATCTGTTGTTCCTGGAAGCGAGGAGTATCAAGCTATGATGCTATATTCAATGGGTCGACAGCCTGCCACTCACCTTCCGCACATGAACCAGAACGTGAATAGGCGAAATGGGGCACTTGAGCAGTCGCCAAATTTGAATGAGACCGTTGCATATCTTGTCACAGAGGTCAAACGACTGACCGAACACGCACAGCACACCGATAAGGAGCTCGTTCTACAAAAGAATGATTAATGGTAGTGGCCTCGTAGAAATACACTTAGTACTCACCGTGGGTCCCGGACGCATCGTTTCGAAGGTAAAAGTAAAAGCTTGTACATGAGCTGGCAACTCGAGCCTGATAGTATTTGACATAGCGCTCGAGTTACGGACTTAGCGAAATTTTCGAAAAACTCACCTTGCTTCAAGTCTACCCTAAGCAGACATCGAGAAGTTGAATTTACTGGGCTGGATAGTGGTGGAATAGCAGGTATCTGAAGAGAATAGACGGAGGTCCGAAAAAGTGTGTTGGTGAAGTTGGAAAAGCGTCTGTTTACATCTGTTGCTTCAGACCGAGCGAGCAAAATTTGCGACATGTCGGATTTACGTCTGATTACGAGCTAGGTACGTTTACAGTCGTGTTATACACATTGTCTCCCTCGGATTACGGTTGGTGTAAAAAACTCGTTTCCGCAGTGATTCCGGCATTGTCAATAATATTCACCCCCAGACCCCAGTGAACACATAGCGTAAAATAATGCACTACCGCCGGGGGAAAGTTTAGGGAATTATACAGGTAGTTTTAGGGTAATCTGACTCGTTCGGGGAAATGCAAGGAATTGCTAGAAAAGTATCAATTTTCTCTGTTATCTTGACTTTAATTCACGTGAAGATTGATCACATAGATATTCGAACGCGCCCCTGCACGTGTCTGATGCGTCTGAAAATCGCTAAGTCCCTTTGATCACGTATATCCATTATCATAGCACTGCTGTCCTGGACCCTTCATACGACGACAACGTTGGATACGATCACAGTGCCAGACAAACAACGAATCACACTCTCAATACTCTCCTGATTGCTAATGCACTTCCCATGTTTCCTCGTCCTATTCGAGCCCTGGCCAGCGCAAGACGACAGCTTCGCATTGACCCAGACCAGTGGATCGCAGCCTATTCTATCTATCCGGAATGCTAGAAACACCACACACCGACTGAGCTCAAAGAGCTTTATTCTCCGAAATGCACTCTTCTGGGCTGCGATGGCATGCTTTAGTGGGAGCGAAGAGATGTGAAGGGTAAGACTGTTCGCACCGCTACTAAGCTCAATCCACAAACATCACTTATTGGGAGTCTGAAGCGCCAGTTCATGAGACCTGGGTTTGCAAAGTCCATCCGTGACAGCCGTCAGAGTCGACCTCGACCAAATGATGACGAGGATTTTGTTATGACAGACATTCACCACGGGTCAGTCTGGCACGAATTCGAGACAAACATCGTGCGCGAGGTTGGTGAGTTTGGAGCAGTATGAGATCGATCGATCGACGGGAGGACAGCAATGAAGCTTACCGAACGTCGTTATGGCCTGCATTTGACTATGAACACGGACTGGTAGGCTTTTGTTATGCACATATACCAAGCTAATACATGGTCTGGAAGGATGGGGATACTCGAAAATCGGTCACACTCTACTGGAGCAATATACCATGCAATAAATGACCTTCCATGGGAGAAGCGCTTCCTTCAAATCAATGCCATCTGCGCTGCTGTCTTGCCTCGTACGAACGAGCCAAATGTCCAGCAGATCAATCATTGTCTCGAACCGTCAGTGAATGAACTGATGATTCTCAAGAACGGTGCATTGGTTTTTCATTTGTCTTTTGTGCGACTCTGACTTTACTCACTTATAATCCCAGGGGTTAAGATGGACATTACCGACGAGAAAGAATCTGTAGATCTTTTTGCTGACAATGGCATCCTCGATTGTGATATGCCGGCTGCTCACAAGGTATCTGGAACGGAGGGTCACTCCCACGACATGCACCCTTGTCGTTATTGTGATATTGAAATTACCGAAATCAACACTCGTCAGGGCTATGACTACAGTACGTTTGTTTTGATGGAACCAAGATTTTGACTAACGATTTTCGCAGGCTGGATAGCAGCTAATGACAGTGATTTGCTTCGTCAGTCGTTCTACTCGCGTGATGCAAATGCTGTCCGGCAAAAGGCAATCCTCGATGATCACGGGGTTCGCTGGAGTATAATGAACATCATTGCTGGTTGTATTCTATCCAAGAAGACAGCACTGGACTTTATGCATTGCGTTTCTCTCGGTAACACCATCTTGACTACCACCACAACAATTATATTGCAAGGATAGCTAACTAACCGCCTGCATTCCAAAGTCTAAAGTCTCAACGATTTTCGCAATACTTTCTCAAACGCATCTCGATCGACCAGCTCACCAGGAGACATTTGATCACCATCGTACATAACCGCACCTGGGCGGAGCTTCCTCGACATCCGAAAATACACCCGCATGATAACGTCTGCGATATCTTGACTGGGCTGAGAGGTCTCCGACTTCGCTACAGACTGTTTGCTGCTACCTTTGGCACGATACTCTGCTGTCTTCGTCACCATCATGCAAAGCCCCAGCACCGGTCGCTTGTACAACACTACGCCAGTGTAAATATACAGATCATCTCCGCCAATGTATGTGCTCACCGGTACGCCGTGAGAGATACGGAACCATAATGATCATTCGGCGCAGCGTTTCCAGCGCGTGCTCTAGAGCTTGATTTGTGGTGGAATCAGCAACCTCCGCGTCGATGTATCTCGCGAGTTCCGTGAGGTGTAGGCACATATAATGATAAAAGTGTCCACCTGTCGCGAATGATGGAACGGGCGTATATACCGCATGAACCGTTCCAGGAGGCATGATCCTAAACATAGGTGGGATGAGACACGTCAAGGAGAATATAGGAATCACGAACAAAATGTCCCCTGGCCGAAGAGCAATGACTTCACCATCACAGTGCTTCCGAACCCATTCTTGGTGGTTGGTGAAGTCGACCAGCTTCGTTACGAACTCCTGCAGATGAATTCTATCGTGATGATTCTTCTTCGGCCTGAAAATCACCCAGAACTTAACTCCGACCTCCATTCGTAACCAGGTCAATGTCCCCTCAGCATCATGATGAGGGTACGTCAGATATCCGGCGTGATGAAGGATTGCCCACCCCTTAACCGTAAAATTCTCTGGATGAACGTTGGACAGGATCGGCACTGAATGGGTCGTTTGATTCCATCCGTATACGAGGCCATGGTCGAGATTGCTGTGTGATGTTGTTTCAAATGCTGGAACGACAGAGTAATATGTCTAACATACCTGAGTGGCTCGGGAAGCGATATTTGGGCGAGGGGCAAGTCTAGGATACATTGTATCCTCGTCGGATCCATCATGGCATCGAAGAACGAATGGATCGTTCCAGTGGTCGTCGTGTTGACGTGGTCATGTGAACGCAGCATCACATCTATCTGCGTTATCAACAATGCATTATCCAAAAAAAAAGATCGTTATATAGTACCATGAATGCACACTGGTCGATGTTGTGATATGGCGAACCGCTTGTCCAGGAAGTCTGCGGTTAATTCATCAGAGTATTTCTGGCGTTCATCTCCTCTGATGACAACAGGTTTATTGATGCTCAAGCACTTCCCAACGAGCTCCAAGACACCATCCCGCGCGATTCTATCGTAAGGAATATGAGCGACATTTCTGGAATCCGAGGTAGATATAGGCAACTGGGCCATGAATTGTATGATGGGAATATCGACGTCTTCACAGACATTGTTGCCTGACTTGTCGTACACTGCAGGGAGCACCGTGACATGACCATCATTCCATGTTATCGTTGGACTCTTCTCCGGCACCTGCTTGCCCAACACGCCCAGTGTAAGATCATGGTTCGAAGTCGATGCCATATTGGTGATGGACGTGGATTGAAATGCGTCTGTAGGCTAGGGAAATAATGGGGGAATGTGTAGTGAGTCGATATGTAAGTTACGCACCATGCGACAATGGCCAATGGCAAATTCCGGACCAATAGATGTGTTAATCGGTCCTCATTGTGATCCGAATCATCGCGTCGACTATTAGAAAAGTATTGAGTAATTGGTACGCTGTATTCCCGATCCGGCGAATGAACGCTATCTGAATCGTAGCGGCGCTTGGTCGCGCCAGTCAGTCCGTATCTCACATATCTTGGATACCATATCATGAGCATACAAGTGTATCATCATTGCTCACATCAAGGTGGTACAGGTACAGAGACACATGTTTGAAAGCATATAAGTACATCATTGAACGATGGGGGTCATCTTGGCCAACCATGCCTATCTAATTGTTGACATCGGTCGTTGACAAGATCGGAACACTTACATCTGCGCTACTCCCTGTCGTCTCCGATGTGAGGATCATTTGTGTAGGCGTCAGAGGCACGCTGTCAGGACCAACGGGATCAACACCAGCGGGATCAGCACCAATGGGCTCAACAGCAGCCTCGTCACCTTCTGGTGTATCTCCGAGAGGCTGTCCTAAGGTCGCGTCGTCAGTAAGCTCATCGGATGGGCCAACGGGAGAGGCAGATCCAGTGGGGCTGAGATAGTCGATGGATGGTATCGACAAGAAAGTCACGGCGGTACCAGAACGTCCGACGGGAACGGGAGTACCTTCCTTGGGACGTTTAGAAGGCCCTCGGCCACCCTCCGTCTGTGAGATGTTAGTTAGGAGATGTCAATGTCAAACCACATCGCGAAATCGTAGCAGCTGACCTTTGGCGGAGATGCAAGTGACAATGTCCGCTTGCGCTTGAATGACGTCTCCATACTCCCTTGCGACACCGTGGCCACAGGCAACTCCTCATCCTCGACGTCCATTGCATTGGACGTATGAGGGACATCGCGATCGCTGCCCGATAGGTATAACCACGGAACTTCGACGTCCGACATCATGCTTGTGAAGTTGTGAGGAGGGATAATAAAATACAGTGATTCAGTGATGCATACCTTGGAGTAACTGGTGGTGGGGAGGCAATGGGCCACGATCCGTGGTCGCTATGTCCGATATCCGCATCATTGGCTAAGGACCCAAGTGCATGAAAGAGGTGGCTGAGGAATCGAGGGCGTGTTTCCATGTGAACGATGGCAGAATACAGGCGTTCCATCCCGAGTGCTTCAAGAAAATCGTCATCGTCATCAAAGGGCATGGTCCTCGGATTCAGAGGAATTTATATGGTCATTTCAGAAATACATTTCAAACTTGAAAAAAAATTCCTTCTTGTGGGCTGGTACATATCTTGGAGGGCACTTCTAGGAATGATATGAGCCAACAATGAAAGAAAACGGCGGTTGGGTTGTGGAGATATTGTCAAAATACTGACTTTTCAGCCCACCTGACATATCACATCATTGTCGACCTCTGGATGCTCTGGGACCATCACCAATCGATTCCTAGGCCTCAATAACCTCAGTTACATTGTTTTCAATATCGTTATTGAGGTGCAATATCGGAATAGTGACATAAAGGTGATCAGGGGGGGAGGAGGACCTTGTATATCTCAGGAATATGATTTTTCCAGGGAAATCTGGCATGACCATCGTGTTCAGAGGGCTCAAGAACCCCCAGGAAAAATAGTTCTGAAGGACAGGCAAGTCACATGAAGGCTAGAAAAATCGATCTTTGGGTGGGGCAGCATGACAGGGGTGGTCAACTTTGGAACATGATTTTTAGAGCGAAATCTGGCTCGACCATCGTGTTCATATGGTCAAATAACCTCTAGAATGAATCCTAGCTAAAGCCAGGCAAGTCATATGAAGGCTGAAAAAATCAATCTTTGGGTGGGGCAGCATGGCAGGGGTGGTCAACTTTGAAACATGATTTTTAGAGCGAAGTCTGGCTCGACCATCGTGTTCATATGGTCCAATAACCTCTAGAATCAATCCTATCTAAAGCCAGGCAAGTCATATGAGGGCTGAAAAAATCGATCTTTGGGTGGGGCACCATGACAGGGGTGGTCAACTGTGGAACATGATCTTTAGAGACAAATCTGGCATGACCATCGTGTTTGTATGGTTTAATAACATTCAGAAAGGTTCCTAGTGAAAGCCAGGCAAGTCATGTGAAGGCTGAAAAAATCGATCTTGGGATAGGGCACCATGACAGGGGTGGTCAACTGTGGAATATGATTTTTAGAGACAAATCTGGCATGACCATCTTGTTTATATGGTTTGATAACATTCAGAAAGGTTCCTAGTGAAAGCTAGGCAAGTCATGTGAAGGCTAAAAAAATCGATCATTGGGTAGGGCACTATGACAGGGGTGGCCAACTGTGGAATATGATTTTTAGACACAAATCTGGCATGACCATCGTGTTTATATGGTTTGATAACATTCACAAAGATTCCTAGTGAAAGCCAGGCAAGTCATGTGAAGGCTGAAAAAATCGATCTTTGGATAGGGCATCATGATAGGGCTGGTACTCAACTTTGGAACATGATTGTCAGAGACAAAAATAGTATCACCAATGCATTCATAGGGTTCAATAACCTCGATCATGAGTCCTAGTTAATGACAAATGTGTTATATCAAGGGCTAGTGAATCGATCTTTGGATAGGGCACCATGACAGGGGTGGTCAACTGTGGAACATGATCTTTAGAGACCAAACTGGCATCTCCAATGCATTAATATGGTTCAATAATATCAATAATGAGTCCTAGTAAATGACAGATGTATCATATGAAGGGCTAGTAGGTCAATCTGTGGGTAGGGCAGCATGATAGGAGCGGTTTACTCAACTTTGAAACATGATTGTTAGAGACAAAACTGATATCACCAATCGATTTATAGGGTTCAATAACCTCGAGAATGAGTCCTGGCTAATAACAAATGTGACATATTGTGCGCTAGTAAATCGATCTTTGGATAGGGCACCATGACAGGGGTGGTAGTCAACTCTGGAACATGATCTTTAGGGACCAAACTGGTATCACCAATCGATTGATATGGTTCAATAACCTCTAGAATGAGTCCTAGCTAATAACAAATGTGACATATCATGGGCTAGTAAATCGATCTTTGGGTAGGGCACCATGACAGGGGTGGTACTCAACCCTGGAACATGATCTTTAGAGACCAAACTGGTATCACCAATCATTTAATATGGTTCAATAACCTCGATAATGAGTCCTAGTTAATAACAAATGTATCATATCACGGGCTAGTAATTTGATCTTTGGGTAGAGCAGCATGACAGGGGTGGTCAACTGTGGAATATGATTTTTAGAGACAAATCTGGCATGACCATCGTGTTTATATTGTCTAATAACTTTCATAAAGATTCCTTGTTGAAGCCAGGCAAGGAATATGAAAGCTGAAAAAATCGATCTTTGAGTAGGGCACCATGACAGGGGTGGCACTCAACTTTGGAACATGAATGTTAGGGACAAAACTGATATCACCAATCGATTCAAAAGGTTAAATAACCTCGAGAATGAGTCCTAGCTAATAACAAATGTGACATATCGTGGGCTAGTAAATCGACCTTTGGATAGGGCATCATGACAGGGGTGGCAGTCAACTCTGGAACGTGATTTTTAGAGACAAATCTGGCATGACCATTGTGTTTATATGGTGTAATAACCTTCACAAATATTCCTAGTGAAAGCTAGGCAAGTCATGTGAAGGCTAAACAAATCGATCATTGGGTAGGGCACCATGACAGGGGTGGTCAACTGTGGAATATGATTTTTAGAGACAAATCTGGCATGACCATCGTGTTTATATGGTTTGATGACTTTCAGAAAGATTCCTAATTAAAGCCAGGCAAGGAATATGAAAGCTGAAAAAATCGATCTTTGAGTAGGGCACCATGACAGGGGTGGCACTCAACTTTGGAACATGAATGTTAGGGACAAAACTGATATCACCAATCGATTCAAAAGGTTAAATAACCTCGAGAATGAGTCCTAGCTAATAACACATGTGACATATCATGGGCTAGTAAATCGATCTTTGGATAGGGCACCATGACATGGGTGGCAGTCAACTCTGGAACGTGATTTTTAGAGACTAAACTGGTATCACCAATCGATTCATAGGGTTCAATAACCTCGAGAATGAGTCCTAGCTAATGACATATGTGCCGTATCATGGGCTAGTGAATTGATCTTCGGATAGGGTATTATGATAGGAGTGGCAGTCAACTCTGGAACATGATTTTTAGAGACAAATATGGCATGACCATCGTGTTTGTATGGTTGAATAACATTCAGAAAGCTTCCAAGTTAAAGCCAGGCAAGTCATATGAAGGCTGAAAAAATCGATCTTTGGGTGGGGCACCATGACAGGGGTGGTCAACTGCGGAATATGATTTTTAGAGACAAATCTGGCATGACCATCGTGTTTATATGGTTTAATAACCTTCACAAAGATTCCTAGTGAAAGCCAGGCAAGCCATGTGAAGGCTGAAAAAATCGATCTTTGGATAGGGCATCATGATAGGGCTGGTACTCAACTTTGGAACATGATTGTCAGAGACAAAATAGTATCACCAATGCATTCATAGGGTTCAATCACCTCGATCATGAGTCCTAGTTAATGACAAATGTGTTATATCAAGGGCTAGTGAATCGATCATTGGGTAGGGCACCATGACAGGGGTGGTCAACTGTGGAATATGATTTTTAGAGACAAATCTGGCATTTCCAATGCATTGATATGGTTCAATAATATCAATAATGAGTCCTAGTAAATGACAGATGTATCATATCACAGGCTAGTAATTTGATCTTTGGGTAGAGCAGCATGACAGGGGTGGTCAACTGTGGAATATGATTTGTAGAGACAAATCTGGCATTACCATCGTGTTTTGCATGGTTTAATAACATCCAGAAAGCTTCCAAGTTAAAGCCAAGCAAGTCATATGAAAGCTGAAAAAAATCAATCTTGGGGTAGGGCACCATGACAGGGGTGGTCAACTGTGGAATATGATTTTTAGAGACAAATCTGGCATGACCATCGTGTTTATATGGTTTGATGACTTTCAGAAAGATTCCTAATTAAAGCCAGGCAAGGAATATGAAAGCTGAAAAAATCGATCTTTGAGTAGGGCACCATGACAGGGGTGGCACTCAACTTTGGAACATGAATGTTAGGGACAAAACTGATATCACCAATCGATTCAAAGGTTAAATAACCTCGAGAATGAGTCCTAGCTAATAACAAATGTGACATATCGTGGGCTAGTAAATCGATCTTTGGATAGGGCACCATGACATGGGTGGCAGTCAACTCTGGAACATGATTTTTAGAGACTAACCTGGTATCACCAATCGATTCATAGGGTTCAATACCCTCGAG